GAAACGATTGCTGGATCGAAGCGACCACGAGGCTCTCAAAACAGAAAAGCCTGGGCCACCAAACAGACAAACCGCCTGAGTTATCCCCACGCTGACCGCGAACGGGGAAGTGAACTATACCCTGACGGCTCCCCATGGGGAGTGCTGGAACCAGCGTATCGCTCGAGACGTCCTCACCATCTGCTGTGAAAGCAAAGCATGCTGGGCACCCAGACGCGCAATCTGGTAGAAACAACCTCACAATATGAGCGCGAAGGGGCCCGTGAGAACACCCTAGCGGTTCCCTCTTGAGAATGCTGAAGCCAGCGCCTCGCCCGAGACATTCTCCAAACCGGCTCTGAACGCAGACGCGTCTGGCCACCAAAACGAGCAAACCGCCTGAGACATCTTCGCGGTGCTGAAACCAGCGCCTCACCCGAGACATCCTCCGAATCTGCTCTGACCGCAGACGAGTCTGGCCACCAAAACAGGCAAACCGCCCGAGACATCCTCGCAATATGTGCCCCTTGGGCGTGCGAGAACCAGCGCCTCGCCCGAGACATCCTCAACATCTGCTCCGGCAGCAGAGGATGTCGGGCCTGCAAAACGGCAGGCCGCTCGAGACATCCCTTCAATCTGGGCGCGAGCGGAAGAATGAGATACCCCGTGGCGCCCCCCAGTGGGCGTGCGAGAACCAGCACCTCGCCCTCAACATCCTCAACATCTGCTCCGACAGCGGGGGGCGTTGGGCATGCAAATCGGTAAACTGCTCGAGACATCCCCACAACCTGGGCGCGAACGAAAGTGTGAGATACCCCGTGGCGCACCCCCTCGGGTGTGCGAAAACCAGCGACTCGCACGAGACATCCTCAAACTCTGCTCCGTCATCATCATCATCATCAGCATCAGCATCATCATCATCAGCATCATCATCGTCATTCGCATCATCACCATCATCAGCATCAGCATCATCAACATCATCATCACCCGCATCACCATCACCATCACCATCAGCATCCTCGGAGCGAGGAAGAAAATGGTCGGTGAGTCTTCTCCTTCTCGGTATGGTTTCACTGCGTGTAGTAGCTCCCCAGAGGTGCATCTATTTGCAGGAACCTGTCCGCCGTGCATGTCTAGGCGTAACAAAAATTCCACTGTAAACGGTCTTGAGTACCGGCGGTCCGGGAGCGAATCTAGCTGTGAATGAATCGGAGTGCGAATGAGTCTCAGTAGTACGAGTGCGTCTCTGCGCCTGCGCCCAGGGCCTCCTGGGGCCGCCTGAGACCCTCTGGGGCTTCCTGGGGCCTCCTGGAGCCTCTTGGAGCCTCCTGAGGCCTCCTAAGGCCTCCTGGAGCATCCTGGAGCCTCCTGGAGCCTCCTGGAGCCTCCTGGGGAGGACTCAGTTCGTGCCCCAGGAGAGGCCCAATGTATATCGGGAGCGGCCAAGAGGGGGGTGTCCAAGAGGGGGGGGGTGCAAATCATGACCGGCGGCATGTGCGCGGCCCGGCGGGGGGGCCAGGGACGTAATGAAATAAGAAGAGGCGCCATGAAATCTGGGGAAATATCATGGCCCACGCCATGATATCCACCCGACCCTAATCATCACCCCCCTCTTGGCCGCCCCCGAATTACTCTCGAAACCAACGCGGATTCATGTAAGTATGCGTCCTTCTTTAGCTCCCGAGTCGTTGCCCCCGACGGCGTGGCCTCGTGGCTTTCGGGCCTGGCCCAAAGTCGGCTCTGCGGCGGCCGCTCGAGACGGCCCCGGCGGAACCTCGAACCGTGACAGCCGCCCCCGAGTATAGGGACAAATGTAAAACACATAGGATTGGAACCACCCGGCCATGGCTCCGGCCTCCGGCCCTGGTCCCCGCTCTGGCCCCCGCCCCGGCCCCCTCGGCCCGGGTCCCAGCCTCGGCCCGGGTCCCGGCTCACGGCCCTGGCCCTGGCTTCGGCTTTTTGCAAGAGCCTGCCCGTTTGGAAGACCCTGGGTAAGAACCTTCTCAAAACCTCCCTCGGGAAGGTTTTTTGTTGAAGAACCTTGCTAAAACACTCCTAAAACCTTCGTCAGGATGGCTTGTTGGAGGAACCTTCCTAAAAACCTTTTCGGAAGAGCCAAAAGAAAAACGTCCAACAGCCTTCCTCAGGAAGGTGTTTTGGAAGAACCGTTTAGAAAAACCTTCCTAAAACCTTCCACCGGATGTTGTCGTTTAGAAGAGCCTTCCTAAAAAACCTTCCTAACACCTTCCTCATACAGTTTTTCGTTGGTAGAGCATAAAAACAGCTTCCCCAAAACCTTCCTCAGGAGGGTTCCTTTGGTAAACATATTCCTAAAAGCTTCACCAGAAAGGTTATTTGGAATAACACTCCTAAGCCCCGTCCTAAAACCTTACTCAGGAAGATGTTTGGGAAGAGCGTTCCAAACAAATCCCTAAAACCTTCCTCAGGATGGTTTGTTGGAAGAACCTTCCTAACAACCTTCCTAAAACCTCCCATCAGGAGGGTTTTTGAAGATCCCTAAAAACCTTCCTCAGGAGGGCTCGTTGGAAGAACCTTTTAAGAGCCTTCCTAACACCTTCCTCAGGAGGGTTCTTGTTGGAGGAACCTTCCCCAAACCTTCCTCAGAAGGGTTCTTTGGAAGAACCGTTTTCATAACAAACCTCCCTACAACCTTCCTCAGGATGATTTGTGGGAAGAACCTTCCAGAACACCTTCCAAATAAACCTTCCTCATGAGGTTTTGTGTTTGTGAGAGCCTTCCCAACAATCTTCTTAAAACCTTTCTCGGGAGATATTGTTCTGAAGAACCTTACAACAAAAACCTTCCTAACATTTTCCTCATAAGGGTTCTGTGGTTCCTAAACACCGTCCTAAAACCTTACTCAGGAAATTGCTTGGGAAGAACCTTCCAAATAACAACCCGCTAAAACCTTCCTCAGGCGAGTTTGTCTGGAAGAGCCTTCCAAAGCACATCCCTAAACGCCTCCTCAGGATGGCTTGCTGGAAGAACCTCCCTAACAACCTGCTTAAAACATCCAATCGGGTGGCTGTTTTGGAAGAGCACTACAAACCTTCCTCAGGAGGGCTTGGTGGAAGAACCTGCCTAAACACCTGCCTAACACTATCCTCAGGAAGGTGCTTGTTGGAAACACCTTCCTAAGAACCGTCCTAACACCTTCCTCAGAAGGGCTCTTTGAAATAACAGTTGTACACACCTCCCTACAACCTTCCTCAGGATGGTTTGCTGGAGGAGCCTTCCTAAACACCTTCCTCAAACGTTAATGCAGAGGTTGTTTTTGAAAATAACCTTCCTATACACCTTCCAAAACCCTTCCTCGGGAAGATCTGGTTGAAAGAACCTTGCTAAACACCTTTCTAACTTCTTCTTCAGGAGTGCTTTCTTCTTTCTGAAAATACAAAACAATTAGAAGAACCGTCCTAAAGAAACAACATTCCTAAAACCTCCCTCAGGTTGGTTGGACACGCCTTCCTAAAAGCCGTCCTATAACCTTCCACAGGGAAGTTTGTTTGGAAGAACCGTTCGACAAACCTTCCTAGAACCTCCCTCAGGAAGGTTTTGCTTGGAAGAACCTTCCTGAAACACCTTCCTAACACTTTCCTAAGACAGTTTCAGGAGGGGCTGGCCGAACTGCCGCACCCAACTGCGCTCGAGGCATCCCCGCAATCTGGGCGCGAACGGACGCGTGAGATACTCCCTGACGCCTCCCCATTGGATGTGCTGAAGCCAGCGCCTCGCCGTAGCCATCATCAGAATATGCGCCGAAAGCGGACGATGTTGGGCATGCAGATGGGCAACCCCTCGAGGCATCCCCGCAATCTGGGCGCGAACGGAGGGGTGGGATACCCCCTGGCGCACCCCCTCGGGAAAGCTGGAAGCAGCGCCTCGTCCGAGACATCCTGAGAATCTGCCCCGCCACCACCATCATCATCATCATCATCATCATCATCATCATCATCATCATCAGCATCATCATCATCATCATCATCACCATCAGCATCATCATCACCATCATCATCATCATCCTCAGCATCATCATCGTCACCGCCACCACCATCACCACCACCACCACTACCACCACCATCATCATAATCCTCATCCTCATTATCATATTTGCCAGCATCATCATCGTTATGTTCCTCATCAGCATCAGCATCACCAGCATCATCATCAGCATTATGATAATCAGGTTCGTTATCATCGCCAACTTCAGCATCATCCTACTATTATTAATAATAATAATCATCATCATCATCATCATCATCATCATCATCATCATCATACCCACCATAATCATCATCTGTACCATCATCATCAGCATCATCATCAGCATCGCCATCAGCTGCGTAGAGTGACAGCATCCACTAACTTCATCATCGTCATCACCATCACCATCATCATCATCCTCATCATCCTCATCATCATCATCATCATCATCATCATCATCATCATCATCATCATCATCATCATCATCATCATTATAGTAATCATCATTTTCAGCATCAGCATCAACATCAGCATCAGCATTATCATCGCATAACCTAAGTAGCGAACCTGAGTGTGACTCGGTGAGGAAGGAGGAGGAAGATGTGGAAGGAGTCGGCGCGGTCGAAGTAACATCAAAAACCCCCTCCTTTGGAGATGGGGAGAAAGAACCCTGTCTTGAACTTTCCTTCGCCCGGCGTGGGTTGTGTGGATCCCGTTAGGGTGTGGGTTCGGTGCGCGAACGGAACGTCGGTCGAGTGACGTAGGAGGACTCTGAGTAGACATCGTTGAATAGCCATCATTGCTACCAATCCTAAGTGCTGAAACCATTTACCACTATTCTTTACCACGGAGGCCAATACTTGCTGATGACCCTTACTTGCGCTTGCAACCGCAAATATAATACCGCATGCAATATCCCTGTGCTCTTCCGCCTCTTTCCACGAGCTGCTCCTGTTCGATGGCTCCGAGCAGCTACGACTGGGGGCCTGGCGGAGCACTTGCGGAAGCCGCGCCGCATTCTTTCTATGAGCCTGGCCGGGGTCTCCCCGTTCAAGGTCATGATCTCGTCGCCTTCTGAGACGCCATCGACCTGAAGACGACCAGGAATAGACAAGCAAGGAAAATAATACGGAACATGATCGACCCACGGACCCGGAAAGAAATATAGAAATGTAAGGCGTGGCAGCGTTTTCAAGACACCTGATTGGGCAACGGGCAACTGCAATGCTGAGTGTATCGATCTTGATATACCTTGCCAAAAATTGTGCTGTGCCGCGCCGCGCTGAATTGCAATGTGCCATACCGTGATTGTGCCCTATAGCGTTGTGGATCGAGTCCTCCTTTGCATCCGGGTCCTGACCGAACTGTTCTGGATCTTAAGGTCGAGCTGCCTGAGCACGTAGTAGCTGCCCCAGAGCTACTCCCACCAGCCCTTTGGGCGACAAGTGGTCTAACGAGGGTTATCTTTCCTCGTCAGCGACCCCTCCTTCGGGGAGGGGAACCCTTTCCCTCCCCTCACTGAGGTTTCTTGGGAGGGATCGCGAGGTGTCGGAGGCTCCTTTTCCGGCCAATCTTAAGGCCATTGTATGCCACCCCTCACGAGGATCGTGGCCCCAGAGGGGGGGCGCACATCGAGACAACCCCTCTTTTGACCGACAGCCTCCAAGATGGCCCCAAGAGGCCCTCAGGGCTTCCAAGAAGCTCCCAAGACGGCCCAAAAAGCGCCCGAAGAAGCCCCAATAGGCCTCCAACAAAACATCCGAGAGGCCCCCAAAAGGCCCCCGAGCGGCCCCCGAGGGGCCTCAGAGAGCCCAAGATGACCTTCAAGATGGCCCACGATAGCCCAAGCTAGCTCCAGATGGCTTCCAAAATGCTGCAAGAGGCCCCCAGACCGCTCCAAGGCGGCTCAAGATGGCCACGGAACCTCCTCAGGAAGCCGCCGAACTGCCCAAATCCTTCAGAAACGTAGCGAAAATCACTGAGGCTAGCCTTTTCGCCTGGCTGCTTTCGATGGCATTCTGGGACCTCAAGATGGCTCCAAGATGGCCCAAGAGGGTCCCAAACGAGACCCAAGAAAACCCCCAAACGGCCCCAAGAGCGCCCAAGAGCGCCCCACGAACGCTCCAAGAGGGGCCCAAAGGCAATTTGAGGCACTCTAAAGAGGCGACGCTACGTGAAGCTCCCCCTTCTTTGATCGATATCCTCCAAGATGGACCCAAGAGCGCCCCCAAGGCTTCCAAGAGCGCCCCAAGAGGGCACCAAGACCGCTCCAAGACGGCTCCGAATGGCCAAAATGGCCACTTGCGAGGGCCCATGTTGGCATACCCCGCTCACGAGGATCGTAGCCTTCGAGGGGGGAACGCACATCGAAACACCCCCTTTTTTGACCGACCGCCTCCAAGATGGCCCCAAGAGGCCCTCCAGGGCTCCCAAGAGATCCCCAAGAGGCTCTCCGGAGCGCCCCAAGAGGCTCCAAGAAACGTCCAAGAGGCACCCGAGAGGACCCCAAAAGACCCCCGAGCGGCCACCAAGAGGCCCAAGAACCCCCCGCGAGGCACCCACGACGCCTTTTCGTCCTCGTCCTTTTCCCCCTCTTCGTCGTCTTCGTCTTCGTCCTCCTCCTCGTCATCCTCCTTCTCTTCTTGCTCCTCATGCGTCCTCCCTCCTCCTCCCCCTCCCCCTCCCCCTCCCCCTCCCCCCTCCTCCTCCTCCTCCTCCTCCTCCTCCTCCTCCTCCTCCTCCTCCTCCTCCGCCTCCTCCTCCTCCTCGTATTCCTCCTCATCCTCTTTCTCCTCCTCCTACTTCGCCCCGCCCCCCCCCCACGCGGGCCCGGAGATGGCCCCAACGCGCCGTCCAGGCCGGCCCCCCATCGCTGTTCGACTATGCGCGTCTCTTCCTCTCCCCCCCCCGTCAACTCTCATGGGCATCGTTTTTGGTTGGGCTGGCGGGGTGTTTTGTTTGGCGCGCGGGCGCGCGACGACAAGTCGAACGCCGAGCAAGCTAGGGGGCTGGTGGGGATACTTTTTGCTCGCGAGCGACGCAGGCAACTGCGCGCCGTCAAAACAGGTCGAAAGCGAGTCAGGCACAGCGCAATTGCCGCCGGCGACGCGCAGGAAACAAAAAACCACACAGGTGGCGAAAATTAAGAGGCGAAGCGTAACGGCAACTGCGGCAACGCGGCAGAGGCAGGAACGAGCGAAGACAACAGAGGAAGAGAAACAAGAGAAGACAATGCGGCGGGAGAGAGGGGCGAGGCGAAAAGAAACACGGCGGAGAGGGACAAACGCGCCGCAGCTCAGGCTCAAGCGAGGCTGAGGACGCAGCTCCTTGCCGAGGAGCCAGAACTTGAAGTAGAGCGTCATGTCAGCCGGGTCGCACTTGGGGGAGTAGCGAAGTGGCCACTGACGCGGACCGTAAGCGTAAGCGTCGTCCCATCCGGCAGGCCATCTCCAGGGCCGCGTGGTGGTTCGGCCGGTGGGGATTTTCTAATTAGCAGCCGCAGGCGAGAGCGCCAGCGGCGAGTAAAGTCCGAGCGGGCGGTGGTGGGGATGGGGATTTTTTGTTGTTGTTCGGCGGCTCAAAGGACAAATCCAGCGAGCGGGAATCACGTCTGGGCCACAGAGCGAGATAATTTGCTGCAGAGGCACGTAGGCCGCTGTAGCGAATGCACATGCCAGGGACAAAGTGACCCTCATTGGGGATCGACGCAGGCAGTCCAGCGGATGGGGGCGCAAGGACGGCACCGGCGGCGGACGGAGAAGAGCAGTCGCCCTCACGGCGCCAAGCTCCAGCCGAACCATACAGCACGAACAGGCGCGGAGCACGCCGGACTGCAACGGCGCGGGGTGGCCCGGACGAGACCAAACTCCGGCCATCGCACACTGGAGGTGAGGCAAGAGGGAACAGCAGACGCAGCGGACGCCAGACGGGCACCCGGCGGCAGGAAAAAGGGAAAGGCACAGAGCGGAGCCTCACTCGCGGTGACTCGCTGTCGCAGACGTCAAGTCTGCCGCTCTCGGACGTGAGAGCGACCGATACCCAGTCAGCGAACCTGACGTCAAAGCCGCCTGTGTCCACAGCGCGCAACTTGTCCGACACGGAAGATCGGGGGCGCAAAGTTGCAAGCGCTGGCCGAGGCACCTGCGCGAGGGGCCAGCCGGGGGGGCCGCGATGACCTGCCCAAGGATGAACCACTTGTGCAGGAACTTGAACGCGAGGGCGACATATACCCAGTCAGCGAACCTGACGTCAAAGCCGCCGGCGTCCACAGCGTGCAACTTGTCCGACACGGAAGATCGGGGGCACTAAGTTGCACACGCTGACCGAGGCACCTGCGCGAAGGACCAGTCGGGGGAACCGCGATGACCTGCCAATGGATGAACCACTTGCGCAAGAACGCGCCCATGCCAGGCCCGACATCGGGTGGCATCAGAAGCGGGCGGGGTGCTCCAGTCTTCACCTTGCCGAAGCCAAGCCCCTGTAGCGCCCTGAAACGCACCGCGTGGACCAGGGCGACCCGCAGGTGGGGGTGGCCCTGCTGGCCGCTCTGGCGGTGACCAGGGGGAGGGGTTGACAGCGTGCTCAGCTGGCGACCAGCCGATGCACCACGTCGCATCCGCCCAGAGAGTCTGGGGGGAATTACAGCTGCGGTGTCTAGCGCAGGCGGGCCCTGAGCGCCGAGATGAGCACCCGCTTGTCCGCTGGCACGGCTGGGAGCAAGATTCTGGGCCATTGTGACCCGCGGGGGTGGCTGAACCTGTCAGCTCCCCAGTCGCGATGTCCCTTCGCAACGCTGGGGGGCGCAGCCAAGAGCCGCAGAGACTTGCGAATGAACGCGTGGTGGTTGGGGGGGGGCGCAACCAAGTGCCGTTGGCACGACCGCCGCGCCCAGGGCCTCCACGCTTGGGCCGGACCAAGGCACTGGCACATCCTCAACCAGGGCGCACTCCGTTGAGGGCCATTGTGACCCGCAGGGGTGGCTGAAACTGTCGGCCCCCCTGTCACGGCGTCCCTTCGCAACGCTGGAGGCGCAGCCAAGAGCCGCAGAGACTTGCGAATGAAGGTGGGGGGTGCAACCAAGCGCCGTGGCACGACAACCGCGCCCAGGGCCTCCACGCTTGGACCAGGCCAAGGCACTGGCACATTCTCAACCAAGGCACACTTCGATGGGGGCGCAGCCAAGAGCCGCAGAAACAAGTGAATGGAGAGCGGGGGAAGGAGGGGGGGGAGGAAAAGCGAATCCAACCCGGAGCTGGGTGACAGCCGGGTCACCTTCGCGGGGCCGGATCGATCTCGGCGATCAGGATGGGGGGCGCAGCCAAGAGCCGCACGGAGTGTCGGACGTGTCAGAGAGGGGCGCGGCCAAGAGCCGCAGAGACCTTGAACGGTGAGATGCAGGAGGGAAGCCAGCGGTCGTTGGACACGGTAGGCGAACCCCGCCTGCTGTCGAGCCATATGCTATTGAAAGGTGGAGCGCTGGAGGTGGGTTGTTTCAGCCACCAGTCCCTGTCGCCCAAAGTGGGTGCCCCAGAGGGGCGGCGCTGACGGCCCCCTGTCCCGTGGGGTGGTCAGGTCTATGGGCTGGCGGCGCGGCGGTAGGTTACCCAGTCATTGCCGACCTCGGTGCCAGCAGGGGCGGGGCGCAGGGGGTGGACTTTTTCATCCACCGGGCACTCCGTCCAGGGTGGGTCCACGAGACCAGCGTGGGCTGTCTAGTTCGCGGCGCATGGGTATTAGTACACCTCTGAACCGAAGGGGGTAGCACGGGGTATTGTGGCCGAAGCCGAGCGCTGCGGTGAAACTTACCCATGTCGTTGCCAGGAGCATCCATCTGGAAAACTTCGGCCATGGGATTGCGGACGCTCCCCGCCGGCCTTTGTCCACAAGCTCAAAATCGCTGCTCGAGGCAAAGGGCCTGTTGAGGACCATGGGGCTGCCAACCCAGCGAGCTCCGCCAGGCGCAGCGGGGCCCCATATGGCCCACAGGGTCAGCGCAATGGGAACCACCTTGTATAAGGAGGTGGAGGCTGCGCCCAGCTGTCCCGGATCATTGTTGTCCAGGAAGCACGCGTTGCGTTCCATGACGGCCCG